TTGCCAAAACACGACTGGCCATTGAGTATAAAAATATGTAAGTCTAGCAAACATATTAATATAAAATCCTTAATTGTATATAATGAAGTATTATTAAATATATATAATATCTAGAAATGCATATAATAAAAGGGTTTATTTTTTGGTTATAAACAGATTTTCATTGGCAATGGAGTGTGGGTTGTGGTGGAAATGGGTAGACGTGGCCACAAAGTATGGGCACAGTGTTTATGTAGGTAAGGGCTATAACTTCACGGAAATACAGGCCATTGATTTCATGGACATGAATGCTATGAATATAGTATTTGGTCCCTATATTCTTGGTATTTCTTTTGCTATTGGAGTCCTATTGGTAGAGCTCATAAGATACCTCTAAACTTCAATGTTTAAATCCTGTTAATTATAATTTTATTTTTAGAGTTTGTTTATTAATTATTGCATTTACTTTTAGCATGTACAAAGAATTTGTTAATTATTATGTTACAGGTATTTCTATTGATACATTTATTTGAATTATATTGTAGTCATTTAAAAATATAAAATCGTTTAAACATTTATAATATTTATATAGTTTAATTATTAAAATTTATAAATAACGATATATAACTACCACTCATTTTTCCTTACATAAATATTGGGATTTTGCAACTTATTATTACATTTAAAATGTGTTTGTACCATATTATATTTTGTATTTTTATTTAATGCAATTCTATAATAAATTAATTCAAATAATAAAATAATTACTGAAAATACTGTGACAATAAGACAAGTATACATGAGATCTAGCACATTTCTCATGGCAATATCATTATAATCGTATGAATTGATTTGTTTTCTATGAATAAATTCATTGGTTTTATTGCTTACAAACAATAGTATATCTCTATTCCACTGGTCATACAGTCCCGACTCTTTTACCATTAAAATCCTATTTATTTTGATATCAAATTAAAAACAGAAATAATGTCATATAACAAAATAAACATTAAGCTATAAAATAAATTATACAGTACTTACATTTTATTTAATATTAATAAAATCCATTTATCGGTCGCATTGTTTACAAACAGAAAGTATGGCTCAAGACCTCCAGAATCACGAGATATATGTATAAAATCAACCAATTTTTCATCGCTAGAATCCATTGTCTTTTCGACTGATAGTAAGCCTATTATATTAAAAATTAATACAAGCCGTGAGTTTGCATAGGCTATGGAGCCATCCTTTAAGCCTTGAATTAATTTCTCTCTGAACCCAAACTCGTAATAATTATAAAATGGTCTCAATTGAGGGCCAATAGTTTTGGCTAAATCTGTTTTGACTAGACTTCCGTAAGAGTTAAGGGGACTGTCATCTCGGACATAAATCTCCATATCCCGGTGCTTTGATAACTCTTCCAACGAGTCTATTCTGAGTACCGGTACCGAGCTCACCATATAGTCTAATAAATATACCGTAAATTCTAGCGCCAGTATAAAAGCGGAGAATAGCCACAAAAATAATAACAGCTTTTGTTTGGATTTTAGTATAAATTCTTGCAGTGATTTCGTGTAAAGAATTGTACAATAATTCCAGAAATATTCATAAAATATATAAATAGTAAATGTCTTCAGAGATGAGACCAAAGATATGGCGATAAGTGCTATAAAAACAATAATCCATACGTTTAGCTGAAAGCACCGGAAGTATGTGAGGAATGGCGCGGCACCGATAGTTGTCCTGGCTATAAATGTGCCCACCTCCAAATAGCCCATATTATTGGTGTATTTAAACGAGTAGTTGGCGTTAATTTGGCCGATTTTGTTGGTGTAATCGAAATAAGCACTCGAAGTGACCGGTGATAGGAATATGTCGACCCCGTCCTCCACTATACGCTCCATTAAATCAAATAGAGATGAGGGACGACCCTTCACCTTCACACTAGACATACATAAATTCATAAGTAAAATTAATCATGTTAGTGTTATTAATGTGAAAACAATGTTACGGTATTTTATATAGTTTGACAAATTCGAGAATAATCATTAATAGTGGACCACATATTTCGTATACAGAATTGTCATCAGTTTTACTATTAATTTACAAATAAAATATATAAATCTAATAATTGATGAATTAATAATAAAAATATTATATAAATGATACGTACGATGTATAAATATATGGTGACATACTTAAAGGTTGTATAAGAATTGTTTTATTATAATTATAATTTATCGGATCATTTGAGTAATTAATAAATTCATTTTCGTTATGAAATATACAGTGATTTGAATTCATAATTTTTAAAAGTGATTAATCTATCATTTAAACTGGTTAAATCTGAATCTAAATTTAAGATTATAACTTATAATAAATGAATACACAGAAAATAGTAGGAGGTTAAAAAATGATAATTATTTTAAACGTCCAAAGAGAAATAGAAATTCTATATTTGCTAAATAAATAATTTGTTATATTAAATGCATTTAAGGACTTTAATAAATACTAATTACAGAATTTAATTTGCTTAGATATTTATTTTAAACTTTTAAATAAATCTGCGTTAAGATGATAACATGATATTTGTATACTCTTATTGTACTCTTATTGTATTCATATTGTAAAACACCTTTAATAAATAGTACTAATATTACAATTCGTTAAACCATAAATCTGCGTTAATACTCTAGGACATTAGAAAGTATATGTAAATTAATGAAAATATCCACAAATAAATTTAATGAGTTAAATCAATAAATATTAGCACAACAACCGGTAATGTGTTTTACAGTATATGAGCTATACCTTTATTAAGTTATAAAAATACCTTCATGAATTAGTACTTTATTAAAATTATACTTAATTACAGTTAATATGTTTTTGTCTCAATTTATGAAATCAATAAATTGATTATGATTTATATATTGATCAACACAAATACTGTATGTTTTGTTATAAAGTTGTTATTCAATGCAGTTATTATGCAATTTTGAACCTAAATATAATAAATTTTAAAACTTATTACACAAAATATAAAATAAAAATATTTGATATATAAATACAGTACTGGCATTTATGCAATGTATACCATCATCAATCACTAGATATTTCTAAATATACCTGTACTTTTAGGCATCTAAATCAAACTAATTGTTTTTAATTTGTGAAATATGCTGTAATTATATTAAAGCAGAATATTTTATAGTCTAATGTACTGTAGATATTTAAACATATAAATACAGATGCCCTTATATTTTATTAAAATAATTAATGGTTATAATTTGGCATTAATATCGAATCGTATTATTATTTATAAAATGTTTTACTCAATTAAGAATGCATTTTATTTTAGTATAAATCATAATATATACTTGTTATGCTTATTATATGAGCTATTTATAATAAAATTAAGTATTTGAACATATAGCAAACTTTCAACATAATCTATAAAGTACAATGAATGCATTTATTTCTCAATAATACTGTATTAGTAATAAACAAATATCAATACAATGCTCTCAATTTCAAAATCAGTATAATTACGCAAAATATTTTATTTGCAAACAAACATAATGTAAATGACTTCAACTTAAACAAAGACTGTACAAATCAAAGGTTGTAATTATGACTTAACAAAAGTTTATTTATTTTACAATTTTATTTATTCATACTGTACATATAGGAATCTTAAGAAAATGCATAATCATTATTATCATAATAATTTGAATGACCAAAAAAATAAAGTACCAGAGTCAATGCTGGTCAAAACAGCTGGTCAACATTTATATACCAGGGGCATTTCATTATATAAATTTGGTGAACACAAACGGCATATATTCTACAATCCATGGCTAATACTAATTCAGTTTGTGGTGAATTCAGTGCGAAGTCTTTACGCCATATCAATACCACCGAAAAGACTGGATCTGTTCATATATTTAGCCGATTATTCCTACTTTCTAAATGTTCAGAAACAATTCAATTTCGGTGTTTTAATGTACTATTGTCTGGCAATTAGCACCCAATTGCTAAATCTATGGCTCTATTACCGGGGTATTGGACTAACATTTATGAAACCATTTCACGTGTTTGCCGGCAATCTGTCGCCCAAAGGGATTGGTCTCACAAACACTCAACACATTGAGAAACTCATCAAAAGGTACAGAATTTGGTCAAAATTATCTGAAATCAATCCATTGGTACTGTTCCTGTTTGCCTGGATCATAGTGATTGTGCCCATTGCTATGAATATGAATATATACCAGTTTCTGATGTACGGCCTCCCATGGAGTCTCATGTATGGCCTCAGCTCTCTATACGGGTTTACATTCCTTCACTGGAATATCACTTATTTCTACATTTTATGCGTTTATTTGAAACTTAAGCTAAAAGTACAAAACGATTGCATTAAAGACATCTCTCGCATGAATAACACGAATTTGAAAAATAAATTCATTTTAGAGACCATTAATTGTTTGACAAGAATTCATAAAGAATTGCAAGAATATAATGACATATATTGGGCTAAATATTCACTGTTTTTCATTGGATTTTTCATTGCTTTTATGAACGCAATGCTATTCCTAGTGCTGTACTGTTCAGTCAATTTTATACTCAAAATGTTGTTTTTCTATATATTTCTATTGGTTTTCATTTTTATGACTTTTTATTTGGCGATCGCGTCGCGTATTAGTGGCGAGGCTTTCATAACGTATAAGATTTTATTTAAGCTGTGGTTGAATTCAGATAAATTCAAAAATCGTTTGTCATTATTGGTTAGGTTCAAGGTAAAATATTGCTACTTATTTATTTAATAAATACAGTAAAATGATTAACATTATAATCTAACAAAATATAGTTGATATCATTCACGGAAAAAGTTGGTCACAAAACTATTGGCTTTTATTTTGGACCACTGTTTTTGATTACATATTTTCGCTTTTATCAGGTACAAATATATATGATAACTAAAACTTAAAACATTGTAAATTAACATAAGTATTTAAAATATTTAAATTACAGTTGACTGCTGCAATGGCCGCCTATTTACTTAAAATTATTGAGTTATCGTTTAAATAAATATTTTAATGTTATAATATGACAAATAGTGGACAACATATTTTATAGAGGAATTGAATTAGAATTTTTTGAAAATATTTTTTCTGTTCATCTCATTAACAACATAAATTTTTGACTAATTTTGTCATTAGTTTTTGTTTACATATTTTCATATAAATTTGCTGCACTTAAATGAATTTTAGTTAAATGATAATTATTTTATTGTGATTTTAATGTGAAATGCAATTTACATAGCAGTTTTATGATGCAATTATTTTTCTAAATAAGGAATTTTATCATTTTCACAAATAAAGGACATTCAATGTCCACTATTTCTCATTTAAAGCACAGAGGACAGACACCCTAAATAGAGGACTGTCCTCTCCAATAAAGGACGGTTGGTCACACTGATTCCAATTATTATATCACTTTATTCAACTTAAATAACTCATGATAATAACCTATTTATAAAAGCATTATTCTATAATGAATACAGTATATTGTTTTATTTAAAATGCTCACTAATTAACTCAATAGGGCAAACTTAATATGTGTACATTTTTTAGAGCAAATTTGCACTTTTTGTATTCAATTAGTGCATTTCGATTGTAATACCAGTAATTAAAATTAATTAAATAACCTTAAAATAATATTGTTAAGTATGATTGACAAATGAAAACATTATTGTAGCGGTAAATCATTGAATTCTATCCAAACTATAAAATAAAATAATGGATGTCCCTAAGAAAGCCAACTTTGAGTGTGATTTTGATATCCCACAGCTCCGAGACTCACAGTATTTTCACTTTGATCTTGCACCAAATGGCTATTTTACACATATATTATATATAATTAAAATTTATCTGGCTATTTTAAACACATAACATTATGGCAGTATTTATTGATTTTATCTGAACGCACTAACAAATTGTATTTTTATTATCTAATTGAAAGAATTCTTTAGTTTAGAGAATTATAAAATAAATTTATACTTATTTAATAAACTTTTATAATTAACATAATAATATATCATTATTTTAAGGCAGATTCTTATTTTAATGTCATTAATTATCTGAAAATAATTATTGATTTATATAAACAATTAAAATTATAATTTCCTAATTATGTAAGTGCTGTTACGAAATGAAGGGTATTTAATATAACAGAGAAAAATACTTATAAAATAATTGTTATACACTTAACTTGTTTACTGTACGTAAAAGTCCAATTAATTAACGCAATTAAAACCAACTCTAAATAGTGCATTTTAATAGAGTAAAATACATTGCGTTTATGATAATATTAATAATTTTAAGATTTATATTTATAATAATGAACTATTTTTGCTATTTACAAATAAATTAAAATTATTCAACTATTTATTATATATAATTAATAAGATTATAATATAATGGAAATCCCAAAGAAAGCTAATTTTGAGTGTGATTTCGAGATTCCACAACTTAGAGACCCTCAATATTTTGGCTTTGATTTCACACCAAAAGGCAATTTCACGTTTGCCTTCACGGGAATGGTTTGTCATTTAGTTTCTATTGTTAATTGATTTGAAATTAATTATAAATCAATTTTTAAAAACTCAAAACAGTTGACAACCGGAAACCAAGTGCTCTGTTCAACACATTTATTTTTGGTCCGAGAGTTAGTCCGACGGACAAAATACGGGTAAAATGTTATCTACCTATGTGGTAAAAGTAGTTTTAAAACTAGACTAATTTTATTGGTATATTTTATTTGGCCAGTGCTATACCAGTGCCTATAGAACCGGATCGTTATTTACGTTTAGATGGATATAATTCAGTGGCTGAACCATACCTTGATTATATCTACAAAAGGGTATTAAAAATAATTGTTAGTTGATTTAAAGTATTAATAATTTAATTTATAACTGTTATATAGGAAGTGGATGTAAGCCTGGACTTTTATCAAATCGATGATATGATACAATCATTTGCTAATATCTATGGTGGTTGGAACTACCCGGCCCTGGCTATAATGTCGGGCATATACCCCAGTTCTAAAAGCAAACCATTTTTTGGAGTTTTAAAGATTTTTGATAAATATGTATAAAATGTATTTAATTATAAATTATTGAATTCCTAAATTATAATTATATGTTATGTAGTTTTGGTTATATCTTACACTCAGTTATATATTCAGTGCATTATATTTGTCATTAGAAGCCATTTATGAGAAAATGGATTTATATCTCACTAATGGGTAATAGTTTTAAAATTCACAAATTATTATAATTAATATAATATACTATTAATTATATTTCCATAGAAGTAATTATTCACCTAAAATGATTATTTGTGACCAATTTTGGACGGCATTTAACACACTATTTATGCAATGTATATATATTGTTCAAATATATAAATTAATTGTTAATATTTTATTTATTTTTTGCCTCCAAAATACCGAAAAGCGATCAAATATAAAACTAAAACAAAAAGATATTTATTAGTAATAGCGGTACTATTAATGGCAAACTTTCAAATCATAACACATTTCAATCAAATGGTTCTCTCGACTACTATTGACAATCCGTTTGAAGTCATCGATTCATTGGATCAGTTGAACCAAAGACAGACATTACAGCCGCGACTATTCCTTAAGACAACTGACATCCACTCCATTCAAGTGAGTCTAAAGTTTTATTGCAATCCTAAAATAATATAAATTAATAATTTGCAAAATTCAATGGAAACAAAATAGAAATTACTCTAGAGTATTATACTGTATAAAATGTATTTAATTATATAAAATTCAATGGAAACAAAATAGAAATTACTCTAGAGTATTATACTGTATAAAATGTATACTATTTATATAAACCCATTATTTGTATGATTAGAAACAAGCAAATCCTATGGAGAGTCGAGTCCTAAATAAAGCGATGACTAAAAATGAGACAAATTATATTGATGAAACACAAAATGAGTTTTTTAGGGATTTAGACCCATTAATGGTAACCATTCGCGACAATCAGACCCACGTATTGGTCTCTTCATACTACGACATCGAGATTGTGATGACAATCAATCCATCGCTTTATAGTCAAACACTTCACGTCTCAGACAATAAATACTTTGACAAAGCGTTTGGCTTTGTTGTCCATAAACATTGCGATACATATCTCATGAGAATATACGCCAATTTGTAAGTCAATTAAAATGCTAATTATTTTCACTAAAATTTTAAATGATTATTATCTAGAATTAAGGATGTATTGGAGACAGGTCTATGGGACAAATGGAAGGAGCAGGCTGCTGTATTTGCATACTCCATATTTGTCCAGGATGGCTATCAAGTACCATCTGCTGATAATGAAGATTATATGCAATTGGATGAAACCAAAGTAGCTTTGGGTCCCTATATTCTGGGTCTAATCGTAACATTTGTGGTCTTATTTACTGAAATAAACCAAAATAATAATAATAATAATAATAATTCATATGATTCTCAAATATTAAACCCTAAAGACAGTGAAAATAATAAGAGATATAAGAATTATAATTATGTTAAACGTCTAAGTAGAAATTTAATATATTTTAATAAATAAATAATTTGTTATTTAATTTATTTAAAAAATCACACGAATTACAAAAGGACTTTAATAAATAGTAAATACAGAATTTAATTTATTTTGATATTTATTTTGAGCTTTCAAAAAAACATTAAATTCATAACAATGGTTGTCATGATATTTGTTATGTTTGAAATGTCATGAGATTTGAATACTCATACACACCTTTAATAAATAGTAGAGTACTAATACAGTAATAATATAATTTGTTAGACCATAAGTCAAAGTTAATACTTTGGTATGTAAACTTGATTTATTCTCAATCTGGCCAAAAACTAGCCTATATCCATTATAACATATAGAGTATAGGCTAGTTTTGGCCACTTTGAGAATAAATCAAGTTTACATTATAAAGTATAGGTTAACACTTTTGGGCTCTATATCCCATATAGTAATACCGTACTAATAACATACTAATTGTTAAAAATTAAAATTTTTTTGTTATTAAGTAATGTAGTTTAATTAAAATCTCTATAAATTGATTTAATCAGTTAAATAAATAAATATTAGCATAACTACCGGTAATGTGTTTTACAGTATATGTTCATTACTAGTAAAATAATATTTAAGAGCATTTCGTCAACAATACTGTAGTTGTAAAAACTTTTAAGTACATAAATATATAAAGTTGTTTTATAATTATTATCGCAAAGTATTTATTAAGATTTATAAACCGAAAGTTTTATAAAGCAATGGAAATCCCGAAGAAAGCCAACTTTGAGTGCGATTTCAAGATCCCACAGCTCAGAGACCCTCAATATTTTGGCTTTCATTTCACACCAAAAGGCAATTTCACGTTTGCCTTCACGGGAATGGTTTGTCATTTAGTTTCTATTGTTAATTAATTTTAAATAAATTATAAATTTATTTAAAAACAGTTGACAACCGGAAACCAAGCGCTCTGTTCAACACATTTATTTTTGGTCCGAGAATTAGTCCGACGGACAAAATACGGGTAATTTTTTGTCTACTTATGTGGTAAAAGTAGTTTTGAAGCTAGGCTAATATTTTATTGGTATATATTTTTATTTGGTCAGTGCTATGCCAGTGCCTATAGAACCGGATCGTTATTTACGTTTAGATGGATATAATTCAGTGGCTGAATCATACCTTGATTACATCTATAAAAGGGTATCAATAAGAATAATTGTTATTTAACCTTAAAGTATTAATAATTGAATTTATTACTGTTATACAGGAAGTAGATTTAAGCCTGGACTTTTATCAAATAGATGATATGATACAATCATTTGCTAATATCTATGGTGCTTGGAACTACCCGTCCCTGGCTATAATATCAGGCATATATCCCACACCTCGATCTAAATCATATTTTGGTGTTATAAATATTTTTGATAATTATGTATAATACTTCAAATTATATATTAAGAAACTGTCTACAATTAATTATATTAAAAATTATATTTTAGTTTTGGTTATGCCTGATTTTCAGTTTTATATTGAGTACATTATGTCTGTCATTTGAAGTTATTTATTTGAAACTGAATTTATTCAACCATAACAGGTATCATAAATACTTTATTAAACTTCATATTATATATCATTCAATATACACTACTTATTTCTGCAGGATTAGACATGCCGTCAAAAATATTATTAGTGAACAAGTATGGACCACATACAATACACTATTTATGCTTTGTAAATGGCAATAAATATTTTTCTATGCATAATGATTTTATATTTTGATTTTCTTTTCAAAAACCAATCAAGTATAAATATCATTCAAAACGGTACTTGTTAATGATAGGGTTACTTTTGATGGTAAAGTTTCAAGTGTTAACACATTTCAATCAAATGGTTCTCTCGACTACTATTGACAATCCGTTTGAAGTCATTGATTCATTGGATCAGTTGGACCAAAGGGAAGCATTACAGCCCCGACTATTCCTTAAGACAACTGACATCCACTCCATTCAAGTGAGTCGTAAAATTACAAAATAAATAAATTGCAATAAAACCCATTTTAAACCAAATGAATACAAAAGTTATAATAAAAGCGTTAATCTAATAAATTAATTAAAACATAGAGTAACGCAAATCCTATGGAGAATAGAGTGCTAAACAAAGCGATGACTAAAAATGAGACCAATTATATTGATTACACTCATTCAGACTTCTACCAAGATTTAGACCCATTAATGGTAACCATTCGCGACAATAAGACCCATGTATTGGTCTCTTCATTCTTCGACATCGAGATTGTGATGACAATCAATCCATCGCTTTATAGCCAAACACTTCACGTCTCAGACAATAAATACTTTGATAAGGCGTTTGGTTGGGTACTCCATAAACATTGCAATCCATATCTGATAGGAATATACGCCCATTTGTGAGTCCATTACCAGGAAATTGTTAGTAAACTATATTTATTAATTTAAATTTGTGTTTTAGACTAAGAGATGTTCATGAGACAGGTCTGCTGTGTTTTCATACTCCTTTTTTGTCCACGATAGTCATCATGTTAAGGAAGCCGTTAATAACAAGAATTTGGATCTGGTAGAAACAAAAATAGCTTTTGGACCTTATATTTTAGGACTCATTATGTCATATGTGACCATCGTTGGTGAAATATACCTAGCTATTTATAAGCTATAGAATATTTGAGAGACCTTATCAATTGATTTCGTTGACTGGAATAAATAAATAATTTTTCAGATTTCTTGTCATAGAGTCAACACAATGTCTCAAATTGAATAAATGTTGTCATTTTTATCTCATGAGATATAAGTTTACAATCTTTATTTATAATGAAAATCATGTGTATCATCACCACATCGGCGTTATAATCGGGAGGGTGTGTGGCATAGGTGTCAACATAGGGGTCGTATCCCTACCGGCGTTCATTTCAGCATTTTGTTGGCTGTGGATATGTTTTCCTTTCAAAATCCATTTCCCATTTACACAAACTATTGTCAATAACTATTTATAGTCAATTAGTAATTACAAATAAGATTTAAAGTATAATAACTTAAACTTTCATTGAATAACAATTATTTGATCAGTAAAAACAATTTTGTAAACAGTCTACTAATGCATAAAACACCAGGGAGTTATTTATTTACCTTAAAAATCATTACTATTACATAAAAATATTTAACTGACAATTATTGAGTAAAACTAAATGCATGACTAGAGTGATGGTCACCGATAGGAAAGCCTTAAAAATAGCGACGTTTTTGTCCGATGACTGAGTTTTTGAAATGTATTTCATTAGCAAAACATTGGTTAAATTCATTCAACAAATACTCGCATCAAATAAATTTGTCGATAATTTAACGTCACTCTCATCTTCAGCTATAAATTATATAAAATTATTTTAAATTAACAATAAATTTAGTATAAATTCATAATAAACCTGGTGGATTTGGTTTATATTGATCATTTACAGGGTACATATCAGGTACAATTTGGGAATTTATACCGGTATCGCCTGGGTCACAATCATAATTGTGGTGATAAGCTGCAGCTTGGTTCACTATTATTTAAATAATTAATTTGAATAAAATGAGAATTAGCTAGTTAAATACATACACTTCTTACCCTTAAAATAAAGCTCAATAAATGTCAATACAACAAATATAAGTATCATTTTAAATATATAGTATAAATATTGGGTAAACACCTGGACAGTACTAAATATTATTTTTATCTATAATTAAAAATATTATTAATAAATTTAAAATATCAATTGATCCATTTTTTATAGCCAAACAAAATCTTTATTGCCATTATTATATTAATATTTGTTTACATTGTAGAAAAAATAATAATCCTTGCAATATAAAAAACAATGTACTGTACTTACTGTATATTTATTTATATACAGTACAAGTATACCTGAACATACAGTAACATTAAAACAATTACTATATAAAAGATTAATGATTGATTTAATAACAAATTATTTGTTTTCATTTTACATAATTATAATTATATTGTTTTTAATTACAATAAATGGCAAATTTAGTAACTTTTAATATAGAAGTACTTTTTATATCATACCATTTTTTATTAATATTTTAATTATTAACGATACAGTATTCCAAGTTAAGTACCAATACTTTTAATTGCATGTAATTAAAAATTGCTACATTATTAATTATAACTTAAAATAGTAATGTAATTGTACTCTTAATTGGTTTATTATTAAAGCACTCAACTGTTTATTAACTTATCATAATTATTTATGTACTAAAAATATTGTTCACCTATAGGTGCACTCAATAATCCAGGCACATTTAATAAACAGAATTTCAATAAATCAATACAAAGAATGCATTCTTTGTTTATGTGATAAACTAAAGCTGTTGTTATAAGTCTAGTAAATAATTAGCTGCCCTCCAAGTAGTTGTACTAAGAATAAGACAATTATATAACAATAATGTTATTATTTAATCGAAAGTTATGTTTCAATACAAATTCTCAAGGTTTATTTGGTAACCGTTTACACAAGTCCTTCAAATGTTTAATTATTAAGAAAGTTTATAAAACATTTATACAATAAAAGTGATTAAAAATTATTTATAAATTATAATCGTATGAAACATGGAGGTGCCCCATAGCGCCAACTTTGCCTGTGATTTGAATATAGCCTATGAGACCGAGCCTTATATATTTGACTTTGATTTCCAGATGAAGGGTAATTTTACGGTTACCTGGCTCCAAATGGTTAGTGATTAATAATGACTTTATTATTAATTTAATATTATTACAAATTAGTTTATTATTATTGTAGTAAATATAATAAAATTGTGTGACATTTGTAGTTAAGGGGTACAGACATACGAATTCTGTGTGCATCTCATTATTTTATGCTCCGGGAACTTGTTAGACGCACTCAATACGGGTACTGTTTATAATGGACTATAATAAATAGATTTTGTAATTTAAATAATTTATTTAATTGTATGATTATATGAGACATTTTCAGCGCACTTCCCGTAGAGATAGATCCGGACAGGTATCTGACACTTGATGGCTATAACCACACGAGTGCTCCATATCTCACATATATTTATAAAAACGTAAGAAAAAAGTTATTTTTATAAAATAACATTTAAATGCGATATAAAATTTGGCCAAAAAGGAAGTACAGATATCGCTGGACGACTACGAACTCAATGATATGATTCAGTCATTCACTGACATACTGGTGCCTCTTAACTCGCCATCCATTTCCATTATGGGAGGCTACTATCCAAACACTGACTCCAACCCATGGTTTGGTGTTTTCAAGATATACGATAATTGTGTAAATAGATCTTGATATTTTAAATGTTTATTAAACGTTAATTTATTCTTAAATGTTAATTAGTTTTGGTCCTTGTTTGTAATAACATATATGTTGTGCTCGCTTATTTTATCAATTGAAGTTTCCCACATAAAACAAATATATAAAAATAAATTAAATGTGTAAGTTATATTTATATTAGATAATGATTTTAATGATAAGTCCAGTATATTACTTTAAATTTCAAAATTAGCTATCTAGATCAATTTAAGGCTATACTTTGGCAGCAAATATGGATTGTTTCTAATGCTTTATTTATTCAAAGTAAGTTTCTCGTATTAATGTATGTAACTATTTTTTATTTAAATATTATTATATTTTATGAATAATAGACATAATAATAAGACACAAAACGTTTAGATATTTATTTATACTTGGCATTTTATTTGCATCGAAATTCATGATATTAACGCATTTTAATCAAGAAATATTATCAATTACTATACAAAATCGGTATAAAGTAATCGATTCGTTACAAGACTTAGAGCAGAGACCACTAATACAGCCAAAAATATTTATGACAACCACTGACTTACACACAATTCAAGTATTTTATAAACATAACATAACAAAAATTATAATTAGCTTGTTTAAATTCTTTAAGCAAAAAGCGACTCCAATTGAGTCAAGAATTATAAACAAAGCATTGGATAAAAGAAATGAGAGTTATATTGACATATCGTACACTCAATTACTCGATAAATATTACAAACTAATGATTGAAATACAAGTGGAAAAGAGCCACGTATTAATAGGATCTGCATTTGCCATGGACTTTATAACCTCCATGTCCGACATGTATAAACGTACCGTTCATATCGCTAAACACCGCAATTTTTATCAACCCTACGGTTGGGTTATTCATAAAAATTATGCCAATGATCTGATCGCTAAACAATTTGCTGATATGTAAGTTATATTATAAGTAAAAAAAATAATTTTCAATATGTTTTGCATGAATGGCTAAGAATGAAGGTTTCGTTTGAGACGGGTCTTTGGGACAAATGGCAGGACGCGGCCGCCATATATGCTTTTAAATACTATATGTCCGACAAAAATATCGTATTTGAATTTTCCGACGACACCAAAGATCACTATATGACCCTGGATGAAATGAAAATAGGGCTTGGTCCCTTTTTCGTAGGAATATTTACCGCAATAGTTGTTTATTTTGTTGAGAAATATGCGTTCATTGAAAAGAAATTGTTTATTAAATCAAACCGACGGAGTAGTAGACGGAGTCATAATTTGGTTATATTTTAATTGCATTTATTATATTAAACAAATAATCATTAATTTTATTTTTATAAATGTCATTAATAATTTAAATTCATTGTATAATATTATTCCACAAAATCTATTTGCTTTAAAGTAATAATTACTATATTATAATAAATAATTTATGTTAATATAAAATTGTACAGTACAGTAAATGTTTATTATAATAATAATAATAATATTTATTGAATTTAAGAACATGTCTTAAACAAATACATTGAGTATTTATAAAAACAAATTAATTTGATTAACAAATGACTTATACATAGTTTCACATCTTATATGTTTGGGTAAATCGTTATACAATTGAGAGCCATATATAAAAAACCTTTTATTACAAATAGTTTTATGTAATGGAATTCTACAGAATATACCATTTCTTGTTGTTTCATAAAATTGAATTTCATTCAACCATTTAGTACTGTATTCATACAATTTAAACCTCATTTTAAATACAATTTTAAGAATTTGAGTTTTCCGTCTCTTTTCCAATGAATAAATATTTAGAAAACTTAATCTATTATTATATGACATATTTTTTGACAATTTATAGCATATATACTTGGTAACTTTTCTTTGTACTAATTCTAATCTCATATATTGTGTTTGATTCGGTATTACTGATAAATTACAGAATTCAAGTATAGGCAGTATATATGTCTTATATAGCCTCAAAAATGTCAAACCATTCACACGTTTACATATAGTCTTAAGGATTGCAAACTTTTTTAATGCCTTTTTAATAATATAATCAAAATGATAATTAAATGTCATTTTCATATCATAAATAACCCCGATATGTTTATGCTCTAACACATTATTTAATATACAATTATTTACACTATAGTCAAATTTATTTGCAGTTTTATATGTAATCCTTAAGACTTCACATTTGGTTGGATTTAAATTTAAGTAATTTTGTGTACAATATTCATAAACTGTTAACAAATCGTTTTGTAATTCAATGCAATCATTGTTATCATAGATGACTCTTAATAAACAAAAATCATCAGCAAATATAAATATATTTGATTTGATATATTTTACAATATCAGATATATAAATACTAAAATACAAGGGACTGGTAGCCCCTCCTTGTAATATACCAGAGTTTACTGATATCTCATTTGAATAAAAATCATTATATTTAACAATTTAAGATCAATTGTGTGTAATGATATACAATCTATAATACAAATGATTATTATATTGTTTATGTGTTCATTTTAAGTGGAATTTTTATATTATATCTAACAATTGTGACATTTAAGAGACATATAAATAAACATTTAATTTAAATGAACTCAAATTTGTACTTTCATAACGATTATCAATATAAAATAACTTATTTATGCATATTATCATAAATTTATAATCAATATCAATACATTTGGCATTATGTAAGACAATTGATATTCATAGTTTATTATAATTTCAATTTTAAAGTATAGTTATTATTATTGTTTTCATTAATTTGTAATAGATAGCTTCCCTTATGATACGTTTGTGGAATAAGGTTGCGAATTTATTTGATTAATAAAGATCCATTTTTTCCATTTAAAAAATACTACCCAGTGAGTTTATTACCTAATATCTTTCGCTAAAAGATTAGGCGTGATTCACAAAGTACATACGCACGCCTAGGGGGAGGGGGGGTCATGCCAAAGCGTATGTCCCCATGTTAAACTCCTATGTACGATGGGCGTG